CGCATGCGACCTTCCCTTTTGTGCAGCAAGCTACAAGAAGCAAATCCAGTGCAACTCCTGTTTAAGATGATGCCACCATGCCTGCCATGGCATCAGGGTTCATTATATCGCAGTGAAAAAGTGAACACACCCGCGTGGTGCAGTGGTTAGAGCGTCTGCTCTGAAGTCGCGAAGGAGTTGATCCTTACGTCGCGGCTTCGAATCCAATTGTGCGATGTAGAGACCGGTCCTTGGATGAGACAGCATAAACCAAGGTCCCGTGTCGCATTTAATAGGTGCTGGCACGAAAAAGATCATTCCATGATCAATGGCCCTGAGTGCCTGAGTATATTATATAGGGCATAATTTGCAGTTCTCCCAATATACGAGGGGTAATCAAGATGTTAGCGAACTATACTTCTATACATGTATCTACAAAACCACAATTCAGATTTTACAAAAAATGGTACACACATAGCCATACACAACTTCTATAAATAGCATATGCTAAATAAAGTTTTTCTCCATGTTTGTGACGTGACAGTGTAAAAATGACGTCACTATGTAGATCACTTGTGACAAAAAATGGTTTCTTAAGTCGTAATCGTTCAACAAACGACTGTAAAATTTATGGTATATCTTAGAAATTCCTTTGCTTTAGTGTATAATAATTTGTACACAGGTCATAAAGACAGAAGATTTCCGATAATTTTTAATCATTGATCGTTTTAGTGAAGGAAGGCAGATGGTTAAAATTGATATTTGCTATGTTCATAATGTTGCCCACTGAAAGCAAGTTTGAAAAATTTTGTCCTTCAGATGAGACCGTACAAACCGTGGTCCCGTGTCGCAGTAGGTATACAGGTGTCTCATTATATCGCGGTACTTAATTCTTTTGCATAAAACGTGTCATTTCTAATTTTTATTTTAACTTACATTAAATGATAATTATAATTCTAACTTTGGCCTAACTTTTCAGTGTCCAATTTTTTTCCAAGCTTGCATCGTTTAATTTGTGGTCTATTTTTAAAACAGGAAGTCTTGTTTACCTCCTAAATTGGAGAGTCTCATTGTATCGCGGTATGGGAATACATGGAAACTTGTAAATGACACAGACCTCAATTTTTATTTTTGAATTTACGATGTAATTCTACATGAAAAAGTGAACAATTGTTTAAACTAAAGACTTAAAAAGATGAACTTTATTATAATTTTTACGAGGTTATAATTTTAATGGTCTAAATATAATTAAAACCGGACTGGAAATCTGAAAATTTCGTTTTATTTTTTTTTCAAACGGATGTTCCGTATTTCTTAATCATCAAAAAATTAAACATTCAGACAACATTCATATTTTCTATCAACAAAAAGAATATAGGCTATGTATCCACATTTTTGCGATATACCGCGATACAATGAAACCCGCGATATAATGGGAATCGAGTATACTGGCAAGAAAAAATCCCTAGGTTTAACACCCCCCCCCCCCCACTTTCCACAGACAAATCGCAGTATATAGATTAAAAAACGAGGAAAGTGGTGGTGTTTGGAAAAAATTTTGGTACTGAAGTTCGACCCCCCCCCCCCCTCCCGAGAAATAGGATTTTCGTGTTTGGGGAAAAAAGGACAACAGTCATTTCCCTTTTTCTTTTTGAAGACGATATAATTTTTTTTTTTACACTTAACCCCCCCCCCCCACTTTCATTTTGCTTCCGACGCCAATGATTAGCTTTTATATGCTGTAGATACTATATATCTCTCTACTTGTTAGAAAACAATCCCTCCAAATTAGTATCAGTAAACTGTTCAGATGCATCATAAAAACAAGATATTGTTAGAAAGTAAAATTTATTTAATATTAGGAGTTTTCTAATACAGAAGTACAAGACCATTAAGTTGGTGGCACAGTTTGTAGCCCCCCTTTTTTTCTTTTCAGTCATTGTAATTAATTAAAAATGAATATGACCGGGGTATTTAGTGTTTGTCATGCCCGTCTTCCGTCCTTCTGTATGTCCTTCCGTCACGTTTTAATGAAGTTGCAAAATACTGTCCTACATTTCTTTTGGCTATGTTTGGCATATAAACCTATTTATCTTTTGTAAAATATCAACTCCATCAATGTATTCATTTGCACAGCTTTTAGCAGTATTTTTTGACAACCATGTTGCCACTAAAAAGTTCTTATCTGTCATTGTCCATTAATTTTTTTTTTTCAAAGCTCGACCTTTCGTTAATTTACTTTATACAATTTGAAAACTGGCGCATTTTCCCCATCGTAATCCTCTTAAGTTTACATATATCGTACGCTACTCGGAAGACCTCTTCTGGTTTTTACCTTTTTCTGAAAAAAGTTAACAGCGACTAAAATTATACAGACTGTCGACTTCCGTTCAGAAACATTTGAAACGGCAGTTCAGAGATGATAACTATGAAAGTAAAACCTCTATATTTAGCGCAAAGCCACAAATGAGCATTGGACCTAATTTGTTTATCATATGTGAAAGTACAACGATCATCATTTGCAGATGTTAAGTTCTTTTCATTGAAATAATGTTGGGATTTCCTACTGAGGTGAGGATTTTTAGAAAATGGCGTCTGCAGAAGTTGCCTATAATCAGAGGGTATGTATTTTATGTAAGGCTAGTTTTAGCTTAAAATTTGATTTTTTTTAGTAACAATACTTTGTGAATATGTCATAGAAAAATATTTTAATAAAAAAAGTCAAAGAACCCTTGGTGTACGGAACACGGAAAAGGGGGGGGGTCTAGGCTGCGCTATGACTAGTTTGTGGGTCATATTTTGCCACAAATTGGTGGCTACTTTGAGTTTTTATGAGTGCTGCTCAATTTCATACCGAGTTTGTTGAGATTTTCATGCAATGATTTCGCAAAAAAAGTATTTGTTTTACAAACCACAATTATTTTTTGTTATTACCCGCCGTTAATTGGAAAAGCATTACTAGTATTTGTTTTGTTTGGGAATAGGTTTTCTATCGTAGCTGTTAGTGGGGCAGACTATGCCACCTCACAGTTTGGTGGCGGCTTTCAGGCATACCAGTAGACTCAATGGAGTTGTTTGATATAATTATATAAGTGATTATTTTGTCTGAAACTCAATTATTATACTGAGAACATAAATTAATTGATAAAGTCACCTCTTAGTACTATATGTGTACTTAGAAAAGCGGACTTCATATTTTAGTGGGTTTGGCGCGGACCAATAAAAGCTGATTCATGAATTCCTCTTTTTAAAAAAATCAGTTTTTAATACAAGACACGTCGCATTATTGTGATGCGCTTATTCATAACTACGCGAACAACTCAATTCTCAGTTAATGCGCCAAATATTGAATACGCCAATTTATGTACACGTACATTCATGAATTATGACCCCCCGGGGGTTAGGATGGTGCCACAATGGCCGATCAAAGTTTACATGGGAATATATAAGAAAAATTCTTAGAAATCTTCTCAAAAACCATCGGGACAGGAAAGGAAAATTCCCAGGACTATACAACCGCTGTTCCAGCGAAATGGGTTCGATTGGTTGTATATTGCTTAACGTCCCTCTGGAATTTTAATCACTATATTGAGACGCCACCACTTCCTGGTGAAAGGCTGCAAATTTTGATCTAGACTTTGCACTCAAGGTCATTGAGCAGAGAGTGATGCTTTTCGTGCTAGCACCCACTGCTACACGGGACTTAGGTTTATACGGTCTCATCCCAAGGACCGATCTCCACGTCCAACAGTGTGGTTAGAACCCGCGATGTAAGGATTAATTCCTTGCTTCTTGACTCCAGAGCAGGCGCTCTGACCACTTCGCCACACGGGCGACAAATAGGTTAAAAAACGGCGACGAGAGCGAAGACCCTCTTACTAAAGCAATTTCCAGGTCATTTTCTCCGTTAAAGATTGAGTCAACGGTAGTAAAATGTGATTAGAATTAGATAGATAGTCATTAGAAATTAATATGTTAAATAGGCTGTTCTTTGTTAGTCTTGGATGGTGGGTGGATTTTGGATTTTTGTATGTGTTTATTGTTATTGTTAACAAAAGAGTTAAAAGTCTCTTTTAGTGGAAAGATTGCAATAAGACTACAGTTGTAGGAGTAGCTTCTGATAAAACTTTACAGAATTTTCAATTTTAGTTACTATGGGAACTTCAATCAAAAATGCAAAACTGATAATTATTTATCTCAATGTAGCCTATTTGCATGCTAAATTATATAAAAATCAGATTAAAACTGTATTTGGAATAGCATTTTAAAAGTATTTCTCAGATATTTCTTTATTTAGTAATCACGGCAACACGGTTCATCGAAATAAAAAACCGATAAACAGAATTATGTATCTTGGTGTAGTCTACTTGTGTGCCAAGTTATATTGAAATCAGACTAAAACTGTAGGAGGAGTAGCATTTTGATAGAATTTTACAGAAATTAATATTTTAGTAACGCTGGCAACACCATTCATTGAAATAAAAAACCGAAACACAGAATTATGTATATTACTGTAGTCTACTTGTGTGCCAAGTTATATTGAAATCAGACCAAAACTGTAGGAGGAGTAGCATTTTAAAAAATTGTTTACAGACAGACGGATGCATCACTATCGCATAAGCTATTCTGGTCTCTGACCAGAAGAGCAAAAAAAAATCAAGGCAATTGTATATCTTAATGTAGTCTACTTGTGTGCAAAGTTATATTGAAATCAGACCAAAATTGTTTACAATCAGAAAGCGGACCGACTACGGACACCTCGCAATAAGCTCTTCTGAGTTGACATATGACATACTTACAATTGTATTGCAAATTAACATTTTCTAAACTTGTCCAAAGTGAAAGGGTATTCGCTGTTTACATTTTAAGACAAACATATACATGACAATGTAGTATAGATCTTTAATTTTTTTTTTCTGAAAGCAAGTTTGGGCCATCCGCAGACGGACGACATGCAGACAACGTGTGACTGGAAAAGATCATTTGCGCTTTCAGCTCAGGTGAGCTAAAAATTGAACAAATAAGTGCACATAGGTTTATTTTCATTCTAAGTTTTCCATAATTCATACATCTTTTTCAACTGATCACTTGAATGAAGCTGGACCAACAGTAGCACCAATGGCCTCTTACCTGAAAAAAAACCTCAGAGATATTAAACAATTTGTGTCAAAATAATAATTTTTCTTTAAAACATTAAGGTGGAAAAAAAACTAGTAATATATTTTTCACAACCACATACAGACGAACTCTCCCTATGGTTGATAGTTTGTATAAAATTACTAAAAGTACCTACAACTAAAGAAAGACATTTTATTTTTTGATATTTGTATCTGTTTAAATTATCATTTAAATTTGGATTAAAAAGATTAATTATTGTGTTATTGATACGTGCGTCTTAGTACGTTTCATTGATGGGGCGACTGGGGATTTATTATGTGAAAACTACAATAGCGAAATTCTTCATTTTTATACTATATATAACTTTCATTTACTTTAGGGCCGGAATTAAAAATATCTTTGTTTCCCCTAACCCGACCCTAAATTTTCAGGTTGGGTCGGTAGGTAGGTAAACAATTTTATTTTCTGACAGCAGCTTTGAAAATACATACTAAAATTTAATGGAAAAATACCTTTTTAAATAAGAAAAGTACACAAGAAAGCGATGTGTGAACAAAATGCCAAGTATCGTACACATGCCGTTTCAAAGCAAAATTCATGATTAATTAATTCACAACTGTTATTTAGTTGAACTTGTGAAATATCTCACGCCATTACATCTATTTAAATTGAAAAAAATAGGTCTACAAGATTCTCAAATACTCAAAGACCAGACATACGAGTATATTTTTTAAACCAATCAATGTACTTTTTTGAGGGCCATGAAATTTTCAGTGGTTCTGGAGCATATTGCTTTGGAGTTAAGAAGTAAGTGGTTAATTTTAAATCGCAGGTTCAAATCCTATTGAGTAACGTTGAAAACAGTCCTTCAAAGGGGACCGTAAAACTTATGCCCAGTGTCGCAGAAGATGCTTGCTCAAAAAAGATCCCCCACTGCTTAATGGCAAAAAAGTGCTGAGTACGTCTAAATTTGGAGCAATGGGGAAATGTTTAAATGTCGTCCTAACAAATCTCGAAGGGATTAAAAGCAAAGAAACAACCAATCTTCAAGGGCCTATTAAAGAAACACTGAACGTCTCAGGAAGCTGAACCTTGATTTCTAGACTATTTGAAAATAGTATGTTAACAATATTTAAATGAACCAAACTGAATCTACAAATGATAAAAATGCTATATACAATGTCACAGTCACGAAGTTTAACCACTTAATAAAGGCATGAAGAAAGGACATCTGAATTATATTTATCAGGATGAATATGCAGACATATTTACAACAACTCTTATGGTTCAATAATGGCATATAGTAAACATAGGAACATAGATGAATTGGTCATTAGATCAAAACTCAAATAAAATGCAGTGAAATTGAATGATATGTTCACTAGGTGGGTCCCTCATCTACTCATGAGGCGGGCCTTACCATGTATTACGCGTACGTACTTTAAATTCAAAGACAGGTTTGATTGTTTGTTGTTTAACGTCCCTTTCGATAATTTATTCACTCACATGGAGATGCCAAGACACCTCTGAAACACTCTTAATTAGTCATGGTAAATTTTATCAACGAATTGTTGACGATTGATTGTATACTGTTTAACGTCCCTTCTCCAGAATATTTCACTGATATGGAGACGTCACCATTGCCGGTGAAGGGCTGCAAATTTAGGCCTTTGCTCGGCACTCAGGGCCTTTGAGCAGGGAGGGATCTTTATCGTGCCACACCTGCTGTGACACGGGGCCTCGGTTTATACGGTCTCATCCGAAGGACCGCCCCATTTAGTCGCCTTTTACGACAAGCAAGGGGGTACTGAGGACCTATTCTCACCCGGATCCCCACGGGGCAATTATTAACGAATTGTGTCAAGAGTGAAGAATTCCAATTAGCTAAAAGCATAAGATTGAGACGTCGCCATTGTTTTATGAAGAGCTAATGCCCTGTAATCACATGTGGACGCCATTTTGTTTCCAACAAATACTTGAAAATCACAGTACAACAATGTCGGCCGTTCTGATAAAAACTGATTTTGATGAAATTGTATTTTATAAAACATGGTTAACAATAATAAAAAATATTTGAATCATCTTGTTTAAAAAATCTTTTCAGTCGGTGCGATTTAATTGGGTCGGTCGCGTTAGGGGAAACAAAGGTATATTTTATTTTGGCCTAGTGTACAAGCAAAGTGTGGGCGAAATCTACCGTCTGGGTATTTTAAGGGACCGTCTCAAAATATATGTACATTTACTATAGGATTATATAGTAAAGTGTCAATTTTTAGCACTTTAAAGCAAATTTTGAAAATACTATAATAGACTTTTTGTTCAAACTCTAATATATGATGAGTAATACTATACTGTACATAATGTGTAGGAAACACGAAATTCTACCGTCTTGTTACCAAAGGGGGCATCTCAAAAGGCCAAAAATTAACGAAATTTTCCTGTTTTTATAGAGTACTACAAAATATGACGGACGAAAAGGTATTATATGAAAAAAATGACAAGAATAATGGCGAGATTCTCAAATTTTTGTTTTAGATTTCAAGAGCGTATGTTCGCAACTTTTTATTCAATAACATTTTTATGAACCCTTTCTTTAAGAGCTTCAGTTTATCATAAAGTCAAAAACACACTATAACGACGTCAACCTACCTATCGGTTGCAAAATCGGTTAAAGATTCAATTATATGAAATTTTAATTACATTTTAAAACCTGTTATTTCTTAATTTTGTTTAATTTTATTCATCAAGTGAACAAGATGTGTTTGTGAAACACTATGCGTCCGGCGATACAAATTTGAAAAAAGCAATTTTTAGCATACAGTATAGGTCAAGGTCACAAGGTCATTGTGCTTGGTGTTATTTGAAAGAACTTGATTAGTGGAGTATGCATACCCATATGAAGTCTCTCATGGGTCAAAAGTTATGGTAAACGTTCAAAAAAGCTATTTTTAGCATATAGGTCACAGTCAAGGTCACAAGTTCAATGACCTTAGTGTTATTCAAAAGAGCTTTCTGCGTGAAGTAAGCATACCAAATATGAAGTCTATCTTTCATGGTACGAAAGGTATGGCGAAGGTTGAAGTTTGAAGACGAAAAAGCTATTTTTAGCATATAGGCCACAGTCAAGGTCTCAAAGTCATTGACATCGAAATCATTGGAAAGGGTTTTATTAGTGGAGTATTTCCCAATTATTTGGTAAATTTTATCGAATCGTTTTTCAATCTATTGATGCAATGATCACTAAATTTGAGGTAAAATTCATGAATATAGAGAAAATCTTCTCCTTAGATAGGTATATTACCTTGGCGATTGATGGCCATGGGAAACTTCCACCTCTTTGAATTTAAAGTCTCCATCTTTTATAACCGTTTTCTTTTTTGTTCTTCCGCCCCACCATAGAAAACCATTCACAGGTGTTGAGAAAAATTCCAAGGATACCAAAAGGAAAAAGATGACAAATACACCTGAAAACTATTTTGTATGATATATTTAAACTTATTTAAGACCATCTATAAAACTAGTTCTAATTGTAACGGTGACCGTTACAGATGTTCCCCAAACGCTCCCCAACTCCCTTTTTGTGCCAATATCCTTTAAAAAAATTTTTTAATATGCTCAGTATCGCAGGATTTCATAAATTTTTTTAAAAGGTACAGTGATATCAATTTTTTGTCATTTAACGCATTGCACGCAAACGCACGTGCATGCACATGCAAGGTGATCATGATATGTTTTCTAAACTATTAACATATCTTTATATTGCTAGAATCAGTAAAAAGTCATAAAAATATAGATGTTACCGTGTTTCAAATAAATTGTTCATTTTACGCAAATTGTGCTTGAGCAAGTACATGCAAGCACGTCCTTGCATTTAATTTATATAGTAGGATCATGTTGGAATCCATTATACCTATTCATATCCTAAATTTCATCCTGTTTTGTTGAAAAACAAGAAAGTTAAAGACATTTAAAGTTTCAGCCAATCAGATTGCAGCGCACGTAAATTTACTTGCTTTCATGATAATTCTTATATATCATACTGTAGATCTTCATAATGTATGACTATGTTCAAGATTTCAAAGGAGTATGACGTAAAACAAGAAAGATATTGAGACTTTAGTTTCAGCCAATCAGAGTGAAGCGCACGTGCGCGTAAGATCTTGCTATTTTGACCATGTCATTTTGTTGATAATACTAATATATCCATGCAGTGTGAGTTTCAAAATATTCCATCAAGAAATAGAAAGTTAAGGCTTCATCCATTATATTGGTAATTTTACATGTTGCACGTGCGTGCTCTTGTTATCACTGGTGCATGTACGTACTTTCATGAAAATTTTTATATATCATGCTGTAGATCTACATAATGTGTGACAAAGTTCAAAATTTCAAATGATTATGACGTAAAACAAGAAAGATATTGAGACGTTAGTTTCAGCCAATCAGAGCGAAGCGCATGTGCATGCGCATGAGATCTTGCTATTTTGACCATGCCATCATGTCTATACAACTAATATATTCTTACATTATGAGTTTCAAAACATTTCATCAAAATATAGGAAAGTTACGGCAATATCTATTATATTAAGTCATTTCACGTGTTGCTCGTGCGTGCTCTTGCAAGCACATGCGCGCAAAATGACCTTCGTTCGGCAAATCTACATAACATGCCTACTGACCCTAAAAAGGTTTCACCTTAGTCGGATGTGTAGTTTACAAGATCATTCGCGGAAAAGATTTTCCCGGGAAGAAGAAGAAGAAACAGAGTAAAAACAATATGTTCCCCAAATTCGTTTGGGGAACATAATAATGTTTGCTTGCCCTCCCCCGAATAGTGTAAAATTATCGAGTCGGTAGGTATAGGTGGGAGAATTTTTTTTACCTGAAGTTTTTCATATTTGTAAACGGGATAAGAGGAATAAAAAATTTATATGTACAGTGTCCTGAAAAAAAAAGTTTTGAGTGGAGCCATTTTTTAGTCAGTCGATTGGAGAAGGCAACTACTAGTATACATTTAAAAAAAAAAAAAAAAAAACAAGGGTCCGTGGGCCACATTGCTTACATGAGTAGCTTTGACCATGCTGCTCTTTACCCGATTTCCTCCTTGTAATAGCTATTGTGACCCCAACCTACACAATGGGTAACTTTTTTCTTTTATTTCTGTGTTAAACTTGGGATTCCCTATTGTGCCCCCGCCCTCAGGGCTAACCAGGGTGTCATGATTTGAACAATTTAAAATTCACACTACCCCAGGATGCATCCACGTTATATTTGAGCTTTTCTGGCCCAGTGATTCTTGAGAAGAAGATTTTTAAAGATTTTTTCTCCCCCTCTTTTCCCCTGCTGCTACGTGCCTGCTATTATTTTGACCAGGTCATCCTCTGTTTAATAAAGCCCCCAAGAAGGAGTTTTTGATTTTATATTTGTTTTTAATTTGGATTTGATTTTATATTAATTAGATAAGTCTTTAAGCAACCGACTGACCGAACAGAAATGTTTATGAAACATTTATGCCCCTGTATGATATATTGTAGCCAAATCAAAATCAAACATTAAGGTCAGTAGTAAATCGAAGTACTCAGAAGTACAGAGAGCCGGGCTTATTTACAGAGTAGAATGAATTTCTTACATGAATCACGTTTATATTCTGATGAAAAAATATTTTAAAACTATCAATATAAATGATAAGACACTGACAGTGAGTTTTTCAATCCTAATACCACGGTCCGATTTTGTCAGAATCAGAATTTATCTGGTACCGCAGCTGAATGTAAACACACAGGCCAGTCTGGTTCCCTCTCCTGCTTTACCTCGTATGTGTAGAGAACTACGATAACACTGATTATCAAAAATGTTCTCTGACTAAGGACTGAAGTTTTCAAAGTCATAACTACTAATGTTTATTTATATAGATAAAACTTCGTTTTATTTTTGTTGCTTTATTTAGCGTTTGTATTATCTCAAAAGCGGTTGAGAGTAAGAACTATATTTTTGTACGTAACTTTAAAATGGCGACTATTAGGTTGACTTTCTGCCTTGAACAGGATGACATATGCCGACAATTGCTCTTTGAGCAATAAGCCCGGCTAAAAAGGATGGTGCCCATGGAAAGGTTTTGTAATAACAAGGAATATATACCTATTAGTCATGTTACAAAACCAAAACTGGCTAATATTATAGCGAATTTGGTACGTCCAAAACTTCGACAGCTAAAGCACTCGTGTACATAAAATATACAGAACGCATTAAAACTTCAAAAGAGTTATGTTAATATGAATTTTTAAACAATGAATCTTCCTTTTGGATTTTCTACGACTGGGGAAAATTGAGCAATCGCTATGAATCTTGAATATGAATTTCATCTCAGCAATAATGTTCAACTTGATGCCCCCCCCCCCAAAGGTTATCTCAAGATATTGGCATGTCTTTGAGGACGCATATTGTTACATCTACCATTAAAATTTGCTATGCATAATATCATCAAACCTACCTTCATCGTTATGGCTTAATCTCATTTCAACGTTAGTTTTAAAGCAGAAATTTATAGATACAAATGACTCATCAATCGCCATAAATCCATTTAGAATTCAACGCCCATTTCATACGTTTTCGATAATTTGATAGTTAAACATGCATGAATTAGGAATATGCACTTCACACACAATTTTATTTTGAAGTCAATATGCACCACTCATGCATTTACGTCATCCAATTTATTTGTGATGAATTTATAATGAAGCGGTCATTTTTTGTGTGTGTATATATCATTTTCTTGTTTCAATTTCCTGATTTAATGACAAAGAAAAGTGCAACTATAAGTGCAAGCAATCTTACCAGAAAATTCCTAGACTGAAGGTGATTTATGTTTTTATCCCCAAATAAAGAGCTAACCAGTCCTCTCAATAAGTCAGAAAACAAATAAAGGTACACAACAATTTTAACTACTAGACTAGTATAAACCATTGAAAAACAAACATTGTGCTATGGCGTGCTTGTCGTAATTATTTATTAGATATAAAATACTTAACCACCACCCCCCTCCCAGGAGAAAGTACATTTTACTCTGGACACGACATAGTCCAGACTTTTTTACTACCATTTCTAATTTTGATATCCAAAACATTATATATCACTTGGTCGGAATTCTTAGCAGTATTCCAGGGTCTCATATTCAACTCAAAAACATCTCAACTTCTAAAAATATGAAGTCCAAAAAATCAGAATCCCATGTGAGAATATGGGTGAGATATTCAGTCTCACCAACTATTACACTTTATTCCCATGGGAGAAAAAATTCAATGGAATATTTTCTCCTAAAGAATTTTTTCTCTCATGACTTTGTTCAAATGGGATTAATCTCCAGATATTGACAATGAATCATTTTCTCAAACACATTGTTTTAGTTGGTAAACAAAATATGCTATATATTATGATGAGAAATTTGTTATTGTCATACTGTATGGGATATATTTCATGTATGTATGGGAGAAATTGTTTAATTGTCAATATCTGTGGAATTTATCCCATTTGAACAATTTTGTGGGAGAAATATATATATATATATATATATATATATATATATATATATATATATATATATATATATATATATATATATATATATATATATGGACAAAAGATAATGCTCCTGCTAAAACAAGACTCTACTATAATTTGTACCAAACTAAACAATAGGGCAACTTCACAAACTGGTAATTTTGAGTGACAATTAAATTGCACCCACAATAATTAGGACGTGATAAGCATAAATAACTAAATGTATATACCCCCCAGGCGCGGATCCAGAAATTTTTCAAAGGGGGGGGTGAGGTTTTTTTTTCAAAAGGGGGGGGGGGTTGAAGGCGAAAACAGTTAAAACGTACGTTGTACACATACAGTTAAATAACTCAATAGAATATCGATACAGAGTGGAGCATGGTTTTTGAAAGTGGGACGTTGATCAAGTACTTGTATACATTACCAGAAAGTTTTTGAAAAAGAAAGGAAAATAAATCTCCGAACATGAAAATCCTATTTTGTAAAGGGATGGGATTTTATTTTGTTTTTACAACCGAATTTCTTTATATATTACATTAGCCTTTCACCTTACATTTTCTGTAGTAAAAACGCAACAAAAAATTGGAACTTTCTTATTTCTCTTTCTTTTTTGCAAATCCAAAGGGGGTTGCAACCTCCGTAACCCCCCCCTCTGGATCCGCCACTGCCCCCGCTCCAAAGGAAGGGGGTGAGTAACTTGATCCGAAGGGTCATATCACGTCTCGTTGACAGTCGCGGATCATCATATCTAACGAGACGCGATGATCCGCGCCTGTCAACGAGACGTGATACGGCTCTTCGGATCAAGTTACCGTCATAATGATAAATTTATTATATACTCCCTCATAACTAGCTAAATATAGCAGAATAAAACTTAAGAGATAAATTGTATAATATTTATCGATAAAACAAAGCATAAGAACAAGGGACTTTTTAACACGCAAGAAAAACGTCATGTTTCTGCGTACTACGTCATCAGTTTCAGAGAGTGGTGATATGGATTCAGAAAACAACATACTGGTGATCCGGAAAGTCGGATCACGACGTCACGTGATAGCTTAAATTCAGCAAGAAAATTTGGTGATACACAATAGGTATATAATAAATATATATTATTATAACAGTAACTTGATCCGAAGGGTCGTATCACATCGAGTTGACAGGCGTGGATAATCAGATCTAACGAGACGCGAAGCGTCGAGTTTGATCTGATGATCCGCGCCTGTCAACGAGACGTGATACGGCTCCTTAGATCAAGTTACTGTTATTATGATGAATTTATTATATACCCCCTTATAACTAGCTAAATATAGCAGAATAAAACTTTAGAGATCAATTGTATAATATTTATCCATAAAACAAAGCATAATAACAAGGGACTTTTTAACGCGCAAGAAAAATAACGTCATGTTTTTTGCGTACTACGTCATCAGTTTCAGAGAGTGGTGATATGGATTCAGAAAACCACAGTGTGGTGATCCGGAAAATCGGATCAAACTCGGTAAAATTAACAATAACAAAAACAACGAAATTGATGGGTATATAATAAACTGTTTTATTATGTGTGTCTGTCGATCCGTCCGTCTACCGTAACTAATTTTCGTCGCAGTTTTCTTAGCAACTACTCATCGCAGATGCTTAAAAATTTAACGCAATCTTCTTAGAGGCATGCCATATGGTCGGATTCATCTTTTGTTCAAATCCGATGTCAACTTCCTGTTTGTCCATGCGTCTGTCCTCATCATATCATATAGCGGGTTTTTTTGGCGGGTGAGAACTTTGGCGTTTTGCTTACTCAAAGGTATGCCAATAATTTTGGCGAAATTTATTTTAGCGGACGTTTTAGCTCTTTACAGATGGATACTACGAAGAGTACTGACTATTTTAGCAATTAAAATTTTAGCGTACTATCGTCAGAGCGCCAAAATTAGCACCCCGCTAAAATAACCCGCTATACGGTACATAGTAAGTTTTGTCGCAGTTTTCTAAGCAACTGCTCATTACAGGTGCTTGAAATTCAAGCACATACTTTGTTGAGGCATGCCATCTTCCTAATCTGCCCATATGTGAACGTCGTAACTTAAAGCTGAACACGACTCGTAAATGGGCATACGCCATTTTTGATATCATTATCTACGATACATCAACACTCGTCGCATTCGTTACACCTGACTGCTTTATTGTCACGGGTATCGGCGTGGAATGTCGACCCGTGTTCGTGTTGATTATTAACTTGGATTATCTTGTTTGCATTTTATTAGGTCACCTGAGTCACCTATTGCTATCCGTTTTCGTCCTTCGTCTTGTGTCGTGCGTTAACATGTTACGGTTCCGTAATTTTTCCCGTTGCTATAAGTAACATTTTCTGTGGAAAGACATAGTACAAGTTAAACAAAAACTCCCTGCAATATACTGGACTATAAAACGACAAATTGTGTTCCGTATATTGTATGTTTTATTCCATAAACAATAATTGTATATTTACCAAGTGTAAAATTTGGGACGAGGTCGGTAATTAGTGACACCCGAAATTCCTCGATATCTTGCACTCCCAAGTCACACTTATAATGTTCATTATTGTTTTGTTTATGCTTGTATAAGTCCATCAGCGACAAGTATTATGAATGTTTCCCTCGGTAATTATCCGCGCCCTAGGGTGCGTGTTTCCTTTCGTCGGATTCATCGGCATGGCAGCATAACATGGCTTCTTTGCTCTAACAAAGATTGCGGGTATTTTCACTCTGCCGTGACGTCACGACAATCGAGCCCGACGTCATTATAAACCAGAGCAAATAGTCAGTACTTCACTTCGACTGCTAGAATCATATCGCCAGCATGTCTGGGAGTGATAGTCGATGGGTAATTAATTTTACATAATTTATTAATTAATTTTTGGGAGCTGATGAATTTTGTGACATATTTTATTATTACTTTTTACTATTTATATTGAATTAGTCTTTGGGAGAAAGTTAGTGGGAGGTAAAATAACTCTCCCATAGCTATATCTGATTATAATATAATTGTATTGCAAAGAACCCCCAATAGTTTTGGGAAGAGATAAATAATTTTTATGCTTTTGTAAATTTATATATTATTTCCTAATACATAAACCTCCCATTTAAGAATATTTTATTCCCATTCTGGGAGGAAAATAATAATTCTACGGGGTAAGAAATAGGGATAAACATTCAATGAGATCGTGCAAATTAAATATAACAAGCAATAATAAATTCTTATAAACTTTAATCCTGACTCATAGTTCTTTGTCCAGTATACAGAATTGGGAGACCCACAAGTTGTCTCAAGGGAGAAAACCCCTGAACGGCAACATTGGTGTCAGAAGTGGGATCTATAAATTTTAATTCCCATTATCTGATTGGACATAAGACAATTAATTAAATAAGTAAATTTTAGTAACATAGTATAAATAAGTACTCTCAAGAAAAAAATGTCACGGGATAGTAGTCATTTAGAAGATTCGGGAGAAATTGTTTTCAATCCAGGAGTCCTGGTAGAAGTAGAAAATTTATCCCATGAAGAAATCTGTCAAGATGAATCTTTGTCAAAGCAAACATCAGCTCCCAGTGGTTCTGAAAATATAAATGAACTTTTGTTAAGAGCAGTTGAAGGTTTGAAAAGGGATGTTCTATGCATGAATCAAAATTTTGAAGAACAATTATCACAAATGAGACATGAGTCCCATCAATTACATGGGAGGTTATCATCACTTGAGAATCATGGGGAAGCTATTGGTCCACATAAATATGGGAACTGTTTGGAAAATCCCAGTCAATCACCATTTCTAGGGGCTGGGGAGAGATTTGAACCTTTCGAGAACCCAATATCCCCAAATTCAAGCTAGGGTGAACAGAAATGACAATAGGGTACATTCTCCCAATCAAGTAAAACCAACAGTCTCAATAAAGCCACAAACATATGATGGGGTGGAAGATTTTGAAGATTACTTAGCCCAATTTCAAGTGTTAGTAGAACTGCATGGTTGGGATTATAGGACCAAATCTTTGTATCT